TAGGCTTCAGGTTTTGATAAGTTGTAAAGTCAATTGGTGAGGTTGATTCTGCCACTTGCCCCAGTTGAGGCCTTACTGGTGGGTCTTCAAGACCTATACAAGGGTTTGGAGTTTGCACCAAAGGGTGACAAATAAGTGGCCTCACTTGGAGGACTTCCTTTCCTTTATGAGATGGTACAGGAGGTTTGAATGAAGAGGCTGCTGATGGAGGCCTCTTACTTCCTTCTTCTTGGTGTGAAGACATATTGATGAAGAGGAAGGTTAGTGCCAAAGTTTAGGGGCTAGCTCACCAATGCTTAACACCAGTGGTTCCTGTGGTAGTGGCAGGTAGTGCTCATTCTACAGGCTATTTTGCCTAGCAAGGATTCTAGAGCATAGGTATCCAAAAAGTATTCTGGTCTTTGATGTGGCCAGGTGATTCAAAATCTTCTGTTACACCAATGACTCATATTGCATCATGAATCAAGTGCAGATGCACAGGCATGTGACTGCATGAGAGGTGATGCATAATTTAACTTCACTAGCAACAGAACACTAGTCTTGGCCAACCAAAGTCATACTGTTGAGTCCTCATGGGTACAACAAGCAGAGCTAAGGGTGGTTGCAAAGTAGATTTCAAATGGGGTCACAGTACAGTACAGGCAGGTTTATATGCATCTACAGAGTACTGAATAACAAACATTCGAAAATGTTTAAATGTACACCCAAGTTCCCATTAAGGTGTCATCAAGTCATAGCAAGTCACTGCACAGCAGGACTATATGTACAACTGAGTCTGCAGAGTGGAGGGAACTGGGGGTGAATGCATGATGAAAGGAGGGGCAACCACATATATGACATACAGGGGCAAACAGGTACTGGGGGTACTTGTGTCACATGACCACATGGATCAGGGCCACCTGTGGATCATGGAAGGAAGGGCAAATGGACATAGTCTGGCTATAGTACAATGTGGGGTGCACAGGGGTAAGACATAAAGGGAAATGTACAGAACACAGGCTCGACTGCATAGGCAGTGGTCTGTGGGCAGCAGGACATCATCACTTGAAAGTATGACAAGCACAAAGTGTACCATACAGTGTCTAAAAAGGGAAATGTGAGCACAGCATAACAACAAGCTAATACTCTTGAAGTGCCATGCAACTATTGAGCATGTCAAGGCTCAGCTCTCACAGGAGTACAAGATAAAAGATCTGGGGGAGGCATGTTGGATTTTAGGAATGGAGATACTTTGTGACTGTGATAAAGGTATCATACAGCTCTCACAGAAAAGATATGTTGAGAGTATTCTCAAGCACTCTGGGATGAGCAAGGGGTGAGCTGTCACAACCCCCATTGAGCCTAACCTCAAGCTCGAAAAATTAGAAATTCCAGAGGCCAACATCAAGTCATGCCAGGGTGCTCTCAGAGCCCTTATGTATGTGATGCTAGCAATGAGGCCTGACCTCACCTTTACTGTAGGCATGTTGGGCTGTCATGCTGCATGCCCTGGGCATGAACACACTACTGCACTAAAGTGTGTCTTTTGCTATCTGCAACACACCCCCAATGTCCATCTTACCTATAAGCAAGACTCAAATGCACATGCAATTGGGTATGTAGATGCAGATTGGGCAGCAGATATCAATGACCACCACTCCATTACTGGCTATACTTTCATCCTTTCAGGTGGAGCTGTTAGCTGGTCATCAAAAAAGCAATCATCTGTTGCTCTGTCAAGTTCAGAAGCTGAGTACATGGCTGCATGCACTGCCACAAAGGAAGCTATCTGGATTCATACCCTAGTCCTCAAACTTGAGACTGTGTCATCACATGAACCCACTCTCCTCCTCATCAACAATCAATCTGCTATCTCACTAGCTGGAAATGCAATGTTCCATGACTGCACAAGACATATTGCAATTCATCATCACTTCATATGAGAGAAGGTGGATTCTGGAGAAGTAGTCATCAACTATGTGTCTACTAATGACCAGGTGGCCAACATACTGACTAAGGGCTTATCTAGGGAGAAGCACATTCATTTCTCCAAAGTTATGGGTATTATTTTCTTTTAATTCCTTCTTGACTATACTTGTTGAAGGGGTGTGTTGGAGTTTATCACCTTTACCTTAGTTGTGGTTCACTGAGCACAGCATTGCATAATCCAAAAGTGGACACTTAGCAGTTTATTTTTCCTTACTGCACCTCAGCTTCAACCAACTTGAAGTCTGGGTATATTCCTCTCTATAGACTTGACAATCCTGCAGCTCATCATCCTCCAAAAATATGCTCATTTGAAGTTTGCAAACCAGCCATCCCCCTTCAACTGCTCATCTTTGGGTATGTTGAATTTTTCTTTGAACTTTGCTCACTTTGTTACAAGCATGGCACCTGTGATGTGTTCTCCTTTTTCTTCCATATGCTTCACCCAAAGGAAAAGGGAACAGTCTATGGTAGGGCATGTCACAACATGAACCTGCTTGGATGATAGTGCATTTGGATAATCATGAGTGTGTGCCTCAAGCTTCTGGCAGTCTTGGAGCTTTCAAGAGAGAGTTGACCGATCAAAAATGAGAGCTCTGTTGGGAAGGGTCTTAAAATGCTGAATGATGTCATCCTGTGAAATACTGGGATGGTCATCAATGTATGAGAACACAGTCAACCAGTCATGGAGGGTGAGGTTGACATGCTTGGCTGGTTGAGTACTGCAAGCTGATGTCTTTGGGAGATTTTTTTCTTGAATGCTTTTTGGTTGACAAGGCTTGTAGGGAGCATGATGTGTCTGGGGCTTGCACTTGCACTCCAGAGAGTTCATTTGGTCAGCAGGCATCAAGGACACAGGTGTGCTTGAGATAGTCAGACATTTTCATATAAAATTTTCTTCATGAACTAGTGCAACTTTGTTTTTGGTGCCCTGACTCAGACAGTACTTAGGCTGCCACATCAGGAAAATAGCACTTTACTATTTTTGACTTTTTGTGACTAATGTGACTTTTTGGGAAGGAATCTACTATCATTACCCATGTCCTGCAGGCATGGCTGCACTGTTCTTGCTGATTTTGGTCTTGTTCAAACCACCTACTTCATAGCCTTCAGTAGATACACATATATTCAAATTGATGGAGGTTCCAAAGAGATATTGTGATTTTTCTCTCAGACAGTGTGCATCATGTTGGAGTTTATCACTTTTACCTTAGTTGTGGTTCACCGAGCACAGCATTATGTAATCCAAAAGCGGACACTTGGCAGTTTATTTTTTTCCTTACTGCACCTCAGCTTCAACCAACTTGAAGTCTGAGTATATTCCTCTCTATAGACTTGACAATCCTGCAGCTCATCATCCTCCAAAACATCACACCAATGGCTCAATATCTCTGAATTTTCAGACATTTTCTAGTCTTCTTGGCTTAGATATATCATCACTTAGTTGTCTCAATAGATTCTGTTCTCTTTTCATTCTTCAAAATGCTGTATATGGTCAAAAAAAAAGTACAGATAGTAGGTTCCTTCCCAAATAGTCACAAATAATCACAATAGTCACAAAAAAGTCAAAAAAAAGTCACAAAAAGGTCAAAAATAGTAATGTGTTAATTTCCTGATGCAAAAGCTGTCAGACATTCAGCCAATATGTGCTCTCTGACATGTCAATAATGCATAATCCAGCCAAAATTAGTATGCATTATTCCTGGACACTGTTAGGCCCAGGTCGGTAAACTCTTTGTCAGGGTCAATCATGCCAGGCTGACCTCCAGTCATGTGTCAGGGGTGGGAACTCTGGGGTTAACTCAATTTGCAATAGGGATTTTGTCAATGCACATTGTGTCTAGCAGACTATGTGGAGGCACATGGGAGACTGTGCACATCTCATGGACAGTGGCATGCACTGCTTGTATATTGACATTATTGGAGTCAGTGACAGTTCTGCAATCTCTTACAAGTTCCTGTGGCAAGAATATGCATTTGAGTGTGTTACTGTGTATGATGATTTTTGTGCTGGGTCAGCAGACCTTGAAGGCTCCATGCTGGTATGTTGTGCAGACTCTGTTTGCAAGCTTGTTGAACAGTATCTGTATTTGACATTGAAGCAACTTAGAGCTATTGCCAGTCATCACAATTTGGTTCTACATAGTAACTTGCTTTGAGTGATGTGTGTTGATGTGCTACACAATCATCATTGTATGGTTTCCTGTCCTTCACTGGTGTACATGTTCCACTGGAGAGGGCATGTTTGTGGCTCTTTGTCATTACATGCCCCACCTATCCTCCACATTATAAATGACTGCTTATATGCCACCCTCTCCTGCCCCATAATCCATTAACTGATGCCTTTGAACTATGACACTATGACACTGCATCTGTAACTTTAAACAAACAAAAATAAAACACCTGATTGCATGACTTTTGCAGTACTGCTCCTGCACAACTTTTTATACTACCCCTGCATAATTTTTAACACAGCCACTTTGCACCACTTTGCACTAGCTAGGAGGGCAGATAAAATAGATAAATGTAGGCAGGACATGAACACAGTTTGTTGGCACCCTCCCCAGTCATCCTGCCCAATCCACAAGGCCATGATGCCCCACAGGGCCTGCTTGAACACTCGACCCCCTCCCCCACCCCTCCCACCTGGTGGCAGCAAATTCCCATGGCATTGCCACCTGCAAATTCATGTGACCACACTCTGCACCACAAGTCATCACTGGCCTAGCAAATTTGGGCCTGTTTCTTGGCAAAATACCCATTATTACATGGGTTATGTACAGTAGCTGTGGGCACAGCCACCTGCAAACTTTCTGCTCATTACTGCAAAAGTCACACAATCAGCTGTTTTATTTTTGTTTGTTTAATAGGGGAGCTCAGAGTTGTTGCTTTTCGTGCTTGCATTCACTTTCACTTTCGCTGTTCATCATGTGACCCTACTTAGCACAAGTAAATAATTTTTAATACTGGTTAGGAAATTTGATGGGTTAGGGTTATCACTGCATGCCCTCAGACACTTGCCTGCTCCTCCCTCAATGGCCAAGAAGCCCAAAGTGACCTTGCCACCCATTGCATGGGATGCCAATGACCACACACTTGTTTGGCAACTAATATCAGAGATCACAAAGCCTCAAAATCTAAAGGTTTTGTGTGGTAAGTCCAAGCACAAGGTAAGTGACCCACTAGCCATAGCCTACTGCATTGCTAACACAGAATTGTATGTAGAACACTTCAGGTGAGACAAAAGCCAGCATTTTTTGGCACACTGGCTCTGTCCTGCTGCCTGAGCTGTACAGCATGGATGCTGCAGCCACCAGGGATCAGATTAAACACAAATATCAAGGGTATGTCAAGCTTAGGTTACTAGATGGGACTAATCTCTCTTGTAGGCTCATGAAACTGTACAAGCAGCATGTGAAGAGGCTTGCTATCACTGGGGAGGGCATTGGCACTGATGCTGAGGATGGTATGGATGTAGAGACCTGTACATACTTCATCAAGGCTACTAGGCCAAATGAGGGCACTCCTATGGAAGCAAGAAACATCTGGGGTAAGTACTTTCACATGTGCCCTTGTCAAGCTAAATCATTATCATTCTAGATGATATTATCTCCCAGTTCCCTTTCTTCCCTGATCTCCATTGCATCTGGGCTATGAAACCTAACAAAAATCCCATTGCAGTCACTATGGGTGTTGGGCCCTCCAGAAAGAGGGCACTGATCAGGTGACCTCTTGCAGCTAATGATGAGACAGCTGAGCATGATGATGATCTTGGGTTGACTGACTCTCAGTGCCAGGAGATCTGGACTTTGCAGGATGCACTGGATGTGGCCCAATGATCTGCTGTCCAGAAGGAGAACCTTGCACCCCCCCTCTTCTCAGTCACAGCCTACCCCTGTTACCCCTCTGCATGCCATGCCATGGCCATTGTCAATATCACAGGAGAGTGTTCTCAAGGCCAAGGAATGCATTCAGAAGGTGATGAAGACACACACCATTGAGGATACTCTGATGGACATTCACAAGTAAGCTTTACCCTTAGCTTTGGTCATATTTCTCATGCACACTCCAGGTCAAATACTGATGCCATCAATGCTTGTATTCAGGAGGAGCTGATCATCAAAAAGTGCCAGCTGTTTTTTGGAGGAGTTCAGAGCAGGTGTGTGGGATTGGGAGGAGTATTGAGAGGAGTTGAGGAAGTTGGAGGGTGGTGAACATCCTGGAAAGCAAGCTCAACAGTACTCTCCTGACTGGAACTTGGATTTCTGACCTTTGCCACTCTTTGTCACTTATAGTAGTCATTCCTTTGCTTGCATACTTAATTGATCTCTTTGGGTTAATGTGGTTTACATATTCTGAAAGGCAAATAATTCCTCCACTAGCTTTTTGCATTTGGCCTCACCCTCAGGATTAACCCTCTCTGGAAACTCCTCATGTGGTCCTCTGTCCTCCTCCTCTTCCCTTCCATGTTGTGAGGCAAAATATGCACCATGTCTTCCACCCTCCACTTCAATCACCAGATTGTGCAAGATAATGCAAACAGAGATCCATTGGCAGGCAGCAATGTGTTGTGAATTAGAGTTGATATTCAACCAAAGACCATAAAGGCATTGAAATTGACCTTTCAATGCACCCATACAATGTTCAGAGCAAACCTGAATATTGGCAACAGCATAGTCAAATGCAGCATTCTCTGGAAGTAATGCTGCTGGCTTTTTGTGGACAGGAATGGTCTGTGGAGAGATACCATAGGCTGAGTCAGCCCATGCAAACTCCTCTCCATGAAAAAACCAATCTGGGTATTTGGCTGCTCCTGTATGCTCAAATGCCCAAGCATCATGAGCTGATCCTGTCATGCCATGTGAATAATCCACAATTCAAAGGTTTGAAGGGAGGTTTCCAATCTATGATATGGTTAGGCCTATCTCACATAAGAAAATGTCTCTTACCTGGACATTGAGTCCATAGTTTGACTTATGAGTAAAGTAAAACTTGCCATTCAGAGCTGGCTTGGCATACAGAGGGACAATGGTACCATCATACATCACCCATCCTTCACACTATGTGCTCTTGAACCCAAGATGCTCATCAACCCAACACTTCTCCTGCTCCTTTTCAGCAGCAGTGGGGAGGCATACAAAGGCATCATGGTTGGCATTGATGGCATGAAAGCACTGCTGTGTATACAGTTCCACTGCACCTTCAGAGCAACCAGCAAAGCATGCAATGTCCTCTAGTGATGCACCATTGCCATATTGACCCAATCAATATAATGTCACCCCCAACTGGACCTCAACAGCCTCCCGAGCATTACCAGAATCATTGGAGAAGACTGGATGATCCTCAATGAGTGATAAAATGACCTGGAACACTTCAGGAGAGACATGTAGCATGTTGACAAAGTGGTGGTGATCAGATGTGGATTGTGCATACTCCCAGGCAAGATGCAGGCTACCAGACTTGTGCACAGGAGAACAGCCTTGCAGATATCAAGTCTGTTGAATAGCCAGAATGCAGCTAACATCAAGATTGAGCTCTTGTGCTAGGCCTTCAAGGGTCTCTGGAGGGTGGGATACAGCATGGAGGACCATAAGCAAGATATATGCAGCAAGATCTCTGATCTACTACGATAAAATGTATTATGTAATAATAATAATATGTTGTTAACATTTCTGCTAAGTCTTTTCTGTGCTGATCACATGACCAACAGTGAAAGTGAAAGCAAGTGCAAGCATGCATAGTAACAACTCTGCATCAGGAAATTAACACATTACTATTTTTGACCTTTTTGTGACTCTTTTTGACTTTTTTGTGACTATTGTGACTATTTGTGACTTTTTGGGAAGGAACCTACTATCTGCACTTTTTTTTTTGACCATATACAGCATTTTGAAGAATGAAAAGAGAACAGAATCTATTGAGACAACTAAGTGATGATATATCTAAGCCAAGAAGACTAGAAAATGTCTGAAAATTCAGAGATATTGAGCCATTGATGTGATGCACACTGTCTGAGAGAAAAATCACAATATCTCTTTGGAACCTCCATCAACTTGAATGTATGTGGTATCTACTGAAAGCTATGAATTAGGTGGTTTGAACAAGACCAAAATCAGCAAGAAAAATGCAGCCATGCCTGCAGGACATGGGTAATGATAGTAGATTCCTTCCCAAAAAGTCACATTAGTCACAAAAAGTCAAAAATAGTAAAGTGTTATTTTCCTGATGTGAGCTCCCCTAATGTTATAGATACAGTGTCATATCAAACAGATATGACATCTACCACCCAACATAAAACCTACAGAGACAAGTAGTCATGTGTTGCCTTTGTAAACAGCATCACCTCATAAAACAAACAGTTGCATAAACTTCCCTTCCACCCCACTTAAACATTTCCCTAGTGTAGCATCTGCATTTTAATAATAATGTGAATCACATGCAGAAGTGCCCTGCATCCAGGAGTGACCGGAGGGCTATTGTATGCAATATGCAATTTTCCTTCTAATGAACATGGGAAGTGGTCCAAACAGATGCACAATGAGAATTATGCACCAGGAAATCATGCACTATGAGAACTTCAACTGTATCCTGATGCTACAGTGCTGCTACATGGGTGGGTGTGAAACCTTGTGGAAAACCAGATCTCTTAATGTGATGAAGACATGCCCAGTCTTGAAATGAGGGCAGACATTCATCATCAGTAGACCACTCTGTGAGCTGGTAGTCCTAGGGAATCTGTCCAGTGCTGGACAGCTCTGGACAGCTCTGGCCAGCAAAAATGATTTACTGATGGACAGTGCATACAGAGACACTAGGGTCCTGCCAGGAGGGTAGGATGGGTTGAGATCTGCCCAGTGAATGCCCGAACACGATAGACGGAGGACACATAATCTTGTACTCATCAACGAGAAACCAGGGAACCACATAGTCACCAGGTGGACAACCGTCACCGAGGCTCTCACCAGGACCACTCGATTCATGTGACGATGAAACTCACCGTAAATTACATACCCTTCTGTAGCTTCACAACGCAAGATGAGTGTCGGGCACGCAGGTGATACATATATCCAGTGATGATACCTGGAACATGATGGCGAATACAAAGATGGAAATACTCGAATCACACCTCCCCCTCTCTTCACAGGGTTGTAGGCTTATCGCGGACCGGAACAGCACCAATATTGATAACGGCCGCATCGCGAACCTCGAAATGCCGTTCTCCATCCTTTGAACTCCGTGTAGCCTCCGAAAGCTGTTGTAGGTTTGCGAAATGGACAGCATCGATGCGTACATCTGTCTCGGTACCTGGACCCTGACCCTGGGATCGAAGATGTTCCCGGGTGTTCAGCGATGCTAGGAGCGAGTTCGCGTATACTATTCAATAGTAAGAAGGGGAGTTCTGTGCATGGCATCCAGAAGACTGACGTTTTCCAATGATGAAGTCTAATCCCATTACCCAAGCAGCATGGTTACTAGCGTCCTGAAGGAGGTATGAGAGCGCTACAGTTGTGTTGGGACAGCTCATACGCACCAGGGAGACCTCTGCAATGGCGACTGGTCTACGACAAAAATTCAAGACACAAGTTACAAAGAAAAGCGGGGTCCAACTTACAAGGTCATCAAACACCGGTTGACAGCATATATAGTAAGCGTGTCCAACATGCGTTTCGTGCTAGGCAGGGTTCATTAGATAGGAGCGAACCGCCGACACTGATTAGAATTACCTTGGGAATGCGGAGCGGGAGCCACTTTCATACAAAAGTATGCAGAGTGACGTCGTAATCAAAACCTCAGCCAGTACGACGGTGGACACAGCAGGCGTCGCGGAATATAACTAGAAATGACCCACGTGAGGCTCTGCACCAATATATCTGTTGATGAAACTACCCTAGTCTGCGAGAGGGAGATAGCCGTGTTATTGATGAGCCTATAAGCGGATATTAGTATTTCTGTCAAGATGGTTGAACAAATTGGAGTACGTTAAAATAACTGTCGCTGCATCTTGATTAGAATAGATGTCTCGGGATGGAAGAAAAGTACAAACCCATGCCAAACCCTGTTAACATATCGTTGGAAATACATCGTGAACGTATTTTAATTAACAACTCACCGAGGTGAGCTATCACTAACAATATCTATTTCGATCCCGTCACTGGATGATATCTCGTCCTTACGAGTAAATGTACTCACAATCGGGGCGGTTACCAACCACCTCACTCGATAGCGGCAAACTGAATGCCGATCAACAAAGTATCGACAAGCAGGCCAAATGCAACATACGGTAATATATTTTATGTGCGAAGAATCTAGCGACATCGCCACGTTAGGTTTATGAGCATCAATCTGCAAGTGAGTGTCACTTACAACTGAGCTATAGTGACCAGAAGTAACTGGAATAAGGTTAAAATGATTTTATAAGGGCTAGTGAGATGAAAGGAACCCACATTCGCAAGGAGTGACGCCTAATCAGAGACAACAGTCGAATCGGTGCCATGTAAAGTTGGATGTGCGTACCGGGAATGACCTGCCATGTCACATTAGCAGGAAGTGACTTCGAAATGGAAGGCAAACGAACCAAATAACAAACTCCAAACTCAACGAATTGCCGTAATTAGTTATCTGCAGCAGTTGAGCACGAGGACCACGAGGAAGAATCGTATCAGTCTCACCAGGTAGTAATACAAGATGTGACACACTAAACGCCCGTTAGCTAAGCATTCGCGTGGACGCACCAGATACTCACCGAATGCGACATGTAGCGAATCAAGAATCCTGACTTGGCATAAGCGGATTTGAGACCTGCCGCAAGGTAGCCTAACTCACCATACTGCAGCAACAATGAACTTTATGATCAAGGAATCCGCAGTGTCTTGCATATAATACACATAGGTCTATATAACCAGTAAGTAGACCATAAGCCTACGCATTCTGTATAGAGTGCACCTGGAGAGTTGTTATTCCATATAACCTTTGACATGACACGGGAACATCAGGGAGGAGATATGACAAAATCTAGCGAAATAATACATACATGGCGGAGATCAAACCCCCGACGAGGGCAGCACCTATGTCGTGAACAAATGAGTAGGCAAGACGGCACTCGACTATGAAACGTCTTCACCGAACCCGCCTGGGATACCCATGTCGTCTGGATACGTTGGATACGGGCACTCGTCGACGGACTCGTTGCTGATTAGTTGCGTATGAAGAAGCGATCAAGGATGACGGGGCATACACCGAGGGAGTCCGGTCCATTTTTAAACAACGAAGGCAGCACCAATATGATCGGGAGAACCTGCATTGCCTCAAGCAACACGTTTCACGAGGTGGACTAAACCGTTAAAACATCATACATGATGATCCCGTCTGGGAACCCCCACTAACTCCCTAGCACTACCTTTCCTATGGGCACCTTTGGCCTCGAGGTAACTTCAGAAAAGATATGGCATTCTATTATCTCTTACTTACGACTACCGGCCAAGTCAGCAAACCCCATATGTCGTGGGACTAAGCGGAGGTTGTTGGGCAAGGCTTGCGGTCTAACCGTGTTGATCTGATTTGGCGATGGGCGGGTCAGTTGTGTAAGATGATGCAAGCATAACTGCGCATAGAAATGATGTTGACGCCAATCCGTCCATGAACTGGACTCTGAGAGGGACTATATGAATAGTACCTCATCTCCATGATCGAGAGGGAAGGATTATCGTCTGTCGAGTCTTCGGTCGGAGTAGGGGAGATCGGCGCTCGCCATCAACAGCGATATCAACATCAGCAACACGCACTGCGTATCGCCAATGGGCTGCACCTCAGGAGAGCCCCCACAGGGCGGCGCGATGGACAAGTTGATAACTCTCCCCTCACATAACCCCGCAAAAAGGGAGATATCTCATCGATTTTGCGATGCGACGTAAAAGCATATCCACCTATCCGAACATTGACCTTACTTCAACGCTAGGTGTCCGACCGTCAAAGAACATGCACCTAGTACTCCCGATGACAGGACCTAACTAGGTTAGGCCCCATGACGTGTCGTTATTCATAAATGGGCTTGTTTACACTATTTTCCCAACACCAGCAATAAATGCTGCCCTAAATACTCGCCAGTACTTAGTTCGATTAGACCGACTTAATATCACTTGGATGACTTGGGTAGGCACGATAACACTGAAACCGTCTTATTGGACTTGAATACCTGGCGTGATCTTAGACAAAGTTGCCCAAGCAGGTCTTTTTCACTTAGTGACTTGGCATAAATGGCCTAGTAAAATTAAGATGGCTGTAGTTTTGCTGATGCAGGACCACTCGTTTCATGTGACGATGAAACTCACCGTAAATTACATACCCTTCTGAAGCTTCACAACTCAAGATAGGTGGCGGGCACGCAGGTGATACATATATCCAGTGATGATACCTAGGACGTGATGGCGAATACAAAGATGGAAATACTCGAATCACACCTCCCCCTCTCTTCACAAGGCTGTAGGCTTATCGCGGACCGGAACAGCACCAATATTGATAACGGCCGCATCGCGAACCTCGGAATGCCGTTCTCCATCCTTTGAACTCTGTGTATCCTCCGAAAGCTGCTGTAGGTTTGCGAAATGGACAGCATCGATGCGTACATCTGTCTCGGTACCTGGACCCTGACCCTGGGATCGAAGATGTTCCCGGGTGTTCAGCGATGCTAGGAGAGAGTTCGCGTATACTATTCAACAGTAAGGAGAATTCTGTGCATGGCATCCGAAGACTGACGTTTTCCGATGATGAAGTCAAATCCTATTACCCAAGCAGTATAGTTACTAACGTCCTGAAGGAAGTGTCAGCGCGTTACAGTTGTCTTGCAACAGGCCACACGCACCACGGATACCTCTGCAATGGCGACTACTCTACGACGAAAACTGAAGTCACAAGTTACAAAGCAAAGAGGCATCAAACTTACAAGGTCAACAAACACCGGTTGACAGCATATATGATAAGCGTGTCCAACATGCGCTTCGTTCTAGGCAGGGTTCATTAGATAGGAGCGAACCGCCGACACCGATTTGTAGTTACCTTGGGAATGCGGAGCGGGAGCCACTTTCATACAAAAGTATGCAGAGTGACGCCGTAATCAAAACCTCAGCCAGTACAACGGTGGCCGCGGCAGGCGTCGCGGAATAAAACTAGGAATGATTACACGTGAGCCTCTGCACCAATATATCTGTTAACGAAACTACCCTAGCCTGCGAGACGGAGCTGGTCTCGTTATTGATGAGCCTACAAGGGGATATTAGTGTTTCTGTCGAGATGGTTGAACAGACTGGAGTACGTTAAAATAACTATCGCTGCATCTTGATTAGAATAGATGTCTCGGGATGGAAGAAAAGTACAAACCCATGCCAAACCCTGTTAAAACATCGTTGGAAATCCCTCGTGAACCTAATTCCTTAAAAAAACTCACCGAGGTGAGCTATCACTAATAATATCTATCGCTATCTCGTCACTGGATGATACCTCGTCCTTACGAGTAAATGTACTCACAATTGGGGCGGTCACCAACCACCTCACTCGACGGCGGCAAACTGAATGCCGATCAACAAAGTATCGACAAGCAGTCTAAATGCGACTTACGGTAATATATTTTATGTGCGAAGAATCTAGCGACATCGTCACATTCTGTTTATGAGCATCAATCTGCAAGTGAGAGTCACTTACAATTGAACTATAGTAATGACAGATAACTGGAATATGGTTAAAGTGTTATTATAAGGGCTAGTGATATGAAAGGAACGCACGTTCCCGAGAAGTGACGCCTGATTAGAGACAACAGTCAAATCAGTGCCTTGTAGAAGTTAGATGTGCGTACCGGGAACGACCTGCCATGTCACATTAGCAGCAAGTAACTCTGAAATGGAAGGCAAACGAACCAGACAACAAATTCCAAACTCGACGGAATACCGTAATTGGTTATCTGCAGAAGTTGAGCGCGAGGGCCACAAGGAGATGCATCGGTCTCACCAGGTAGTAATACAAGGCGTGACACACTAGTCGCCCGTTAGTTAAGCATTCACGTGGACGCACCAAAACTTACTGAAGGCGACATGTAGCGAATCAAGAATCCTGACTTCGCATGAGCGGGTTTGAGACCTGTCGCAAGGTAGCCTAACTCACCATACTGCAGCAACAATGAATTTTATGATCGAGGAATCCGCAGAGTCGTGCATATAATACACATATGTCTATATAACCAGTAAGCAGATCATGAGTCTGAATATTCTGTATAGAGCGCACCTGGAGAGTCGTTATGCCATATAACCTTTGACATGACACGGGAACATCAGAGGGGAGACGTGACAAATCTAGCAAAGCAATACATACATGGCGGAGATCAAACCCCCAATGAAGGTAGCACCTGTGTCGTGGACAAATGAGTAGGCAAGACGGCACTCGACTATGAAACGTCTTCACCGAACCCGGCCGGAATGCCCATGTCGTTTGGATATGTTGGATACGGGCACTCGTCGACGGACCCGCTGTTGGTTGGTTGCGTATGAAGAAGCGATCAAGGATGACGGGGGCGTATCGAGGGAGTCCGGTCCATTTTTAAACAACGAAGGCAGCCCTAATATGATCGAGAGAACCGCATTGCCTCCAGAAATGCGTTTCACGAGGTGGACTAAACCGTTAAAACATCATACATGATGATCCCATCTGAGAACCCCCACTAACTCCCTAGCACTGCTTCTCCTACGGGCACTTTTGGCCTTGAAGTACCTTCAGAAAAGATATGGCATTCTATTATCTCTTACTTACGACTACCGGCCAAGTCAGCAAACTCCATATGTCGTGGGACTAGAAGGAGCTGTTGGGCAAGGCTTGCGATCCAAATGTATTAATCTGATTTGGCGATGGGCGGGTCAGTTGCGTGAGATGATGCAGGCACGAGTGCACGTAGAAATGATGTTGACGCCAAATCCGTCCATGAACTGGACTCTGAGAGAGATTACATGAATAGTACCTCACCACCACAGTCGAGAGGGTACGATTGTCTTCTGGAGAACTCCCACACGATGGACAAGTTGATATCTCTCCCCAGTTTTTCAGACCACAACGCGATGCGATGTAAACTTATCCGGACATTAATGGCCCCGCTTCAACGCTAGGTGACCGATGGCAGTACCATCAAAGAACATCCCCTCGGAGAGTGGCAGGATCACGTGGTTGTCACCTGACCGTGACAAGCCAAATAATATTTTTACGCGTTGTTGATTGAAACATCGAGGATGTCTCTCAAACGACCGTTCGTGGCCAGTCCTGAATTCGAATCTCCTGGGTCACGTCGTGGCCCGAAACGACGCCAGCTGTCCTCCCCACTTCCCCCGTCGTCGCCCTGCGCGTCGTCCTCTGTCCTTGCAACTCCAAGAACTCTTCCGCGCCCATGGACCATCCCCGCAGACTCTCCAACCAACCCATTTGGTCGTATCCGCCGGTTCACCCATGGCACCACGCTGCCCCCTCCGACGTCTTTCGGACGCCACATCTCACTCCGGTTTCAGCTTGTACACCCTCGTGCAGACGGGCGGGAGTTCAACAGGGACGGGGTGTACCGTATCGTTCAGGTTCCGCTCAACTACACGCTTTCCCATCTGCGCAAACTCATCGCTTACATCTTCGATCCTGCCACGGATGACGAGATAGTCGCGCCATATAACCTCCGTCGCGTCTCGAACAGATTGACCGCTATCCTGTCATCGAGCAAGGATAAAGGGAAAGCCAGAGAATTATTTCCTGTGTCGCCAGAACCTGTCGGGCACCTTTTTGAAGTGCAAAAAGTGGCAATAGTGGGACAGCATGGTGTGATCAAGAGTGGGCACACTTGGGCAAAATCATCCACGGCGCGTGACCCGTACCATTATCCTGGGAACGACTCACAAGGTTCTGTCTTTCTCGACGACGAAAGCGACGACTGGCGTTGGGTGGCCGAAGAAGACCTCGAGCTCACTAAAGCCTGGCCAAAGGGATGCGACCTGTCCAAGGCCATTATATATGTAAGACCATACTCGCGGATATGTTGAATGTCACTTATAATGTCACCCCAGCATCACGACGTACACACCCAGATTCACATCTCCGCAAACACGAAGAAGGTTCCACATAGGAAAGGAAAGGGCAACAAGCCATTCTTATTCGAGGCCTACGGCTCAGTTTCGCTTTCCAATCCCGAAGAGACTCTTCGTCCGGGTGCTGTCGAAACAACCCGGTGGAATAGAATCGGAGCTTATGACCGTTTCTTGAAAGCTGAGGCAGAGAAAGACTGGTCAGCAAGGGCATTGGATGGAGACTTCGACGAGGACGAGGATGAGTATGCGGAAGGAGAGACCGATCCTAACATGGTACGTGTTGTTCGTCTCCTCCCTTGCCTGTTGCGCTCATGGAGGTGTCACAAACTAGTCCTCTGCGACGCTGCCTTCGTTCGGTTTGTCATCTTCGCCCTTCCTCCCTTCCGAATCATCAAATCCAGTTACACCGTTTCCTGCCGAGCCGTCGCTACGACGGCGGGTCGACTACGAGCGTCGCCGTCTCGTGAAGTTGACCAAGGAGGGCCTGAAAGATACCTCGGGTGATGAAGAAGACGAGGTAGATGAACTCGTGTACGATAACAACGACCCAGCAAAGGAAGAAAAACCGGGTGACTGGGATCCATTCTTGGACGGAGAGGAAATTTGTTGATGGGATGAATGTTTGGCTACCAATAAGCACGTTTACATTTTTACACTACAGGAGCACTGGAAGAACATATTAGACATACCTTTTGTATAACTTACGGGAGTAGAGCCACCGAGGGGAGAGGAGTTAGCCGTGCATGGACAATCACAACTGCTTCGTTCTAGGGTAACAGTTAAGCCCTGAGCATCACTAAAAATGACAACCGGCTAGTAGGAGTGCATCACAGGTCGGCTAGGAATACACGAAATGTTTACTTCTCCAATCAATAACTCGACCAAAAGCGATCGGGGAACAGTTTCGCTGTTGTGCCGTCAGGGACTTCAATCGGTGTTTCTCGTGTTGAAGTATATCCAGCATCCCCTCGATGATGCATATGTTAGAGTACTCATACTGGTACCATTTGAACCTGGGCCACGAATAGAATTCGATCGACAGCGGGAATGGAGATGACCTGGCCAAATATTCCCGATAAACCGTCACGGGGATTTTAGAGGATACATAGATGGTGGCCCAGTACTCTGGGGTCGAGAGAGCGACATTCCGCCAAGCCCTGCAAACGCTTGAAATAACCTGCTGAGATAGTAGGGCACTGTTGGGCGCTGGCGACTGAATGGCATGGAGAAAGATCAGAGCTAGAATCTCGTTTGGAAGGCGTGCGACGGGGGAGAGTTGGGGTGGTGGTGGTCTCTGGCGATGTGGTAGAGACGACTGTACGGCAGCGAGACGTTCGAGGAGAGCTTGGTGGTGGACGTCGCGTTCACTATCAATAGTCCATAGAGGATAGGGTATGTCTCGTGAATGCTTCCCGATCCGTTTTCGTCTGACCTGGATAACGCACCCGGGTCAAACGCATGGCCCCGGCTTCGGAGGGTAGACGGTGCTGACATACCTGAACGGAGGAGACCTGTTCTTTCGCACTTTCGTGCTCGTCGATGGACTGAAACTACGGACACGCTTTCATCGACACCAACCATCTGTAAGGATGAACTCGAGCTCCGAACGTCGTCTGAGACTACTCACGACTTGGAAAGTAAAGGATGATCGAAACTACTAGTAATTCGACTTTACCGCTGGAGCAAGCAGTCGATTTATTTATCCCAGTTTCCAATCGCCACCTCGAGTCATGCTGAGCATTGAAACACTGAACCTCGGGGTGGCTTGATGCCAATCAGCATGACTAGGCACCAGTTCCTAGATTACTGACAGAGTCACCCGTTGAAGACCCTCGGCTCCGCACGCCAGCCATGATGGAGCAGCTGTTCGACGTCACGCCTCGCTATGATGTGGGTGTCCAGTGGATGAAATCGTCGTGGCTACCACTTTAGGGTTGGTTACTACTCTGATGACCGTGTCGTTCCTACTACTCGGCTGCACTGGCTGTGCGTCGTTGCGGGGTCAAAAGATCATCCAAACTTGCACGGTTTCTGATCGGGTTTGACCGCGCCAATATCGTTGCCAGCGAGCCAGTCTAGTGCGCTACTTAGTAGTCTCCCCTAGGCAAACCAAAAATTTGACGGGAGCTCTCCACTAAACTACCTCGACGACCATGACTGGTAGTAGTGGCAGCGACACGCCGGGTCAACTTCCTCGAGACGTCTACGACGCAGTCTTGCCACCGTGGAGATCAGCCATTCGCAGTGTCATTCTCAAGGCTGTCGAGATTGAAAGCCCTTTCCTCGCACGAATGCAGGTCAGAAAGTTTCCTTTCCCTCCAATAACAATTACCCCGACGTACTGACATCGTAGTACTGCTGCAGAATCGTCTCAGGAATCCGTGGCTAGACGTCTATTTCCTCTACACATCCTCTCTGGGGACACATACTTTCTTCATGATTGCACTGCCCATCCTATTTTTCTTCGGCTATCATGAGCTTGGACGGGGGCGAGTCGCACATAGCACTATTCCGTTCCTGCCCAGCTGACCTTCGTTTCTGCCCCAGTCTCATACTCGTGCTCGCGTCCGGCGTTTATCTTTCTTCGTTCTTCAAAGATCTCGTATGTGCTCCTCGCCCGTTTTCTCCTCCCGTGACCAGATTAAGTGAGTGTGTCCTTCCTGGCATGGCGTTTGTCCATGCCATTTATTGCCGCATTCTGACTTCGTCCAGCCATCGGCACGCACCATCTCGAGTATGGTTTTCCTTCGACGCACTCGACCAACAGTGTATCCATGGCACTCTTCATATTCGGACATATCCACCGCGCATATACTGAGCATTCAGCAATCTCTGACCTCGTTTACAGTGGTTCATGTGTTGTTCTGGTCGCATACGTCATCAGTATAGTCTTCGGAAGGCTATACATGGGTATGCACTCCGCTACAGACTGCGTCGTGGGCGTGGCCCTTGGTGCGGGAATATGGGGTGCATATGTCATGGTGTGCGATACGATAGAACGTCTGCTATCCAGCAGCTCGTGGACCGGTAAAGGGGGTCTCAATAACGATTTGACCACTGAAGAACTTCTTTCCTTTTGCAGTGCCTTGCACAGTCGTCCCCGTATGTTTGCTGTTGGTTCACTTCCACCCACAGCCGGTGGATGACTGTCCATGCTTCGAGGATGCCATCGCTTTCATCTCTGTCATACTCGGCGCGTTCGTCGCGCGGTGGCATGCCGTCTACGCTGGCATAGACGATCGGCTATTGCAGACCGTCATGCCAGGCGGTTACGGAGACGAATGGACGCTCAGAGAAACGCTGCACTGGTGCTTCATTGCATGTCTCAAAGTGAACGTTGGTACGCACCTCTTCATATATCCCTCGTCGCTCAGCTGACCCCCCCCTCCAAAAAAAAAAAGGTATCATTGTCATCTTCGTATGGCGACTACTTGCCAAGTCCGTGTTGCATCTCGTCCTGCCTCCACTTTTCCGTGCCCTCGCTCACCGCTTCGACCTTCCCAATCGTCGATTTTATACGCCTGCTACCGACTACGCCCATGTACCCGTCGAGAATGGCCTCCGTCCCATTCCCAGTGTGATAGACTTGCCTAGTGCCTTGGAAGTGAGCGGTGTATACGCCGAAGACGCAAGGGACGGCATAAAGAGAAGGGGACGTGGTGCAACTACGAAACAAGACCTCCTTGGGAAGGAGCTCCCCGCCTACCAAGGGAAAGAGCTCGAAAACGGAAAGGGTACCACTCATCTGGGTGCAGAAGTGAAACATTATGACGCAGATGGTACGTACACGCTTACCGTTCTTTCCTTTCCCATGCAGCAGATATAGAGGAACTCACGGATTTTTTACAGTACTCACGAAAGTCGTGGTGTATGCCGGGATTGCGATTTTCGGCGTTGAGGTCATGCCTGTACTGTTTTCCTTGATGGGATGGGGCATCAAACCGTGGTGAAATGTGGTTGACACCCACGGACAGCCCTTGTATGTTTTTAACGTTCAGAATGACGATTGTAATGGCGAAGCAACCCTAATTCGATAATACTATCATGCGACAGGTACATACACGACAAATTTTTCTCGGGCCTGGTCTCCGGAGAGTTAATGGGGGGAGATCTTGGTTACTAGCTAATAGTGTAAGGAATCGATTATTGGGCGGATCTAAGGTGAGTACAAAAAGGGCGCGACTCATCCTTCCTACGATACACCTTACCGTGTACGGTGTTTGGATGGCTGAGTACATGGGACTTTCGGGAAGTATAGATACACAATAATAGCAGCAACAATAAGAGTAGTCCACCCGTGGAATAAGAGAGAAGAGAGCATGAAAGTATCAGCTCAAATGAGATAAACATCCTGGTGACTGAGCAAGTGGCCATGACGGTGACGATGAGCCTGATAACGTTCTTGTTGGTACAGGAGATAGCTCTATTTCTTCATCGGAGAGCACGCTACGCTTTTGTGGCAAGACAGACAAATACGTTTCCTCACTGAAGTTTGAGTAGGCCTGGGAACCCAAGTGTCCACCATCGGAACCAGTGGTGCGGTTGGTCGTCGGACACCGCGACTCGGAATTCGCACTCATTCCAAATTCGATGGTTGTGAGGCAGCCAGACGCGCTTTTGTCGCACGTTCCCATGTCGCGACCGCCATGTCTGAGTCGATAAATGAAGGTCACGATGACAAGGAGGTTGCAGACTATGAGAGAGACAGCAGACTACTCGAAATCATCAATAAAAGTAGTCGTGACAATGGCGTCGATGGTTGGTAGTGAGAATACCACTTACCTCGACATCTGCAGTTACCCCTCCAATGAAAGTAGGTGGGATAATATATGTTGTGTGAATGACACTGATAATACTCGTGAGGATACTCGATGAGAACACCGCTATAATCATGGTCCGCTGATTTGAAGGAACGCGGAGCCGCCACAGTAATCGTAATGGAAGACAAACGAGGATGATATCGGACAGCGAGTCCGCTAAGCACGATGGGTCCATAAGCCCGAGCATAGACGACGATGAGGAGACGTACTTATGACCTCTGATATCGCGACCCACTCAGGAATGGGACATTGAATGAAGGCCACGTTATACCATGATCTGTCAATGGCACAGGGAATCGTCTTCGCGAGCATAATGTATAGCCACATGCCAACGAAAAAGGCGGCAGCGGCAAGCGCTGCTGTGCGACTGCAGCTTGGTGGAGCGATGCGAATGAAGGATGACACAATCGAAAGACGAGCGAACCATATAGAACAGGTATAAAATAGCACGTCCACCCACCATGAAATGACATGGGTCGTTCGCGATTGAGCAGCGATTCCTGATGGAAAGGCGATGTTAGGGGGATTGAAGACAGTGATAGGTGACTGGACCAAACCAAGCGTGTTAGTCTGGATGTATGGATTGTCGAGAGGTGAGGCGAGCATCCAGGTAGCGACCAAGCATACGAAGGTGCAGCAGCATGACAGGGCAGCCCAAAAATCGTCCCACCATAGTCTCCGTATGTAATACCGAAAGCCAAGTCGGAATGTGGTCAAGCAGATGGCGAAAACATGGAAGACAGTTATGAGAACTGGCCGACAACTGGTGTCAGTTGGGTGCCCCCCGAGGCTCAGGCCTGGCACGCACTTAGACAAATAGACACTGTCTGTGGACTTGGGTATACAGGGTTTGACATGGTATACTTTCTTTTTTTTACCAGTCTACGTGGAGAAGGTTCCTGAGTGGGGACGGACAGAAGAAAAAGGACTATGGTGCATTATCAGCGTTCGCTGACCGATGACCCAACCCACGGATGGTTAGGAGGACGTGCCGAGAGTGTCTTTATGTCACCGTGTGATGCCAAAGCCACGTTACCCTGGCTGATCCGTTCTGCCTGCCCGTGGGAAGACTGGCAATTCCCAAAGCCAATCCAGCCTTGGCGAGCATATTAGAAAATAAAAATTGTACACTCAAAGTGGCACATACATATGAGATGAGGTGATGCTGATGGCCGACAGACGGGAGTATTAGCCATCAGATTGCTCAGCAGGCGGTGTCAGTCAATACACAGCTCGTACGAGTGCGCGATACAGGCAGCGCATGACGCTCTCGGACCCTGATTACCCTGACGGCCAGCAGGACACACTACCCACTCGTGCCGCTCCCCTGATTTGAACTTTATCGATCAATCAGCGAAGAGGACATTCGTGAGCGAAACAAGAGCAACGAGGCAGAATTGTAGTTACTGTGACTCTGATGACATTAGTTGGACGTGTTTTGATAATGACATGTCCAAGTACGGGTGAGGCGCTCCACTGCCGTCGACGACATACCGTCCACCATCGTCACTAGTGCCGATCTTCATGTCAGGCTCACAATCGCTGCAAGCTTCCATCCATGCCCCCAAGGCTGGGTCGGATCGCACGCCAGCCAATCTGAGGCCTCCGTCGCTCAATCAGCTCGCTGCCCGCATCTCCCCCACACCCTCCACCCCGTCCTCTTCTCCTGCCCGCCCACGTCTCGCCGCCTCCCTCTTGCGCACTGGTTCTCAGTCGTCCCTATCGACGAACACTACTAATGATTCCATCGCTGTCAACGCGCCATCCACCCGTTCAGGGTCTCCTGCAATGACTAGCACATCCTCCGCAACACCCAAGTCCACCACGATATCTATCCCAGAGGATGTTCCCCTTGAAACAGATCCGCTCACAGAGGATAAGCTCGAGCAGCTGAATCAGGAAACAGCCCAAAATACCAAGGCAGAGAAGAGGATCAAGGGGTACAAGAACGTTCCTTCCCTCAACGACATCACCGCACGTTTGGCAAAGACAAGGACGCTCAGCGTCGACGGGACGGCATGTCCTCCTGAGCCGAGGATGATCGAGGATCCGAAAACACCGGGGGCTGTAATGAAGGCACCGGAACATCCTCTTCAGTACCCATGGTACGTGCTCATCCCGTTGACTCATCCGTCACGTAATTAGCGTGCAACGTGGATGCTATGTAGGACCATCTATCATGATACCAAACCTACCAAGGTCCCCTTTACTCCTGCCGTTCCCAGAACCGGGGGCGAAGATGCGGCGCTTTTCTCTGCAGCTCCTGAGTCGGGGGATTACGAGGCTGGTCTTACTATCGTCGGAGAATTTGATACGGTGGAATCGTTCTGTCGCTATCTCAATTGGCTCAAACCTCCCTCCAAGCTCGAGCGCAACTCCAACTACCACATTTTCAAGTCTGGTATCAAGCCTATGTGGGAAGACCCCGCAAATGCAAATGGCGGGAAATGGGTTTTGACTATGAAAAATAATCCAGCACTGCTGGACAGGTGTTGGTCATGGCTTGCGATGGCCCTTATTGGCCAGGAGGTGGAAGAGGGTGACGATATATGCGGAGCGGTCGTGAGCCTTCGGAGCAAGGTCGACCGCATCCAGGTCTGGACCCGGAGTAAAGACGATGTAGAACGTCTAAATGGGATCGGAAAGAAGCTTGTCAAGTTGCTTGAGGTTTCTGAGGCAGACGGCATTGGTCTTGAATTCCAGGTTTGAAAATTTCATATCCGCGGAGCATTGCATCTTACCAGTGCCCCCTTTGACGCAGTACAATACAGACGATCGACCACCGCCCAACAAATTCATCTCGATCCAGGGGCTCCCATCTACAGCATTCCGTTCTACATTTGCTGCTGGCAGTACTAGGGGTCCTTCGAACACGGGCGAGTCTGTAACGCCCCTCAGCGGTGGAGCTTTCGGCTCCTTCGGCATGGGCGGTATTGGAACTTGGAGAGGTAGTAAGAAGGCCTGATAAAAACTATTTGCCCGGAACCGCACCGAAGGATAGGAACCAACCAACCGATTTGCTGTGTGATATCACACACACGTACCCTGTACCCATGTACAATTCCACACCGTAGCTGATGAATGACCATTGCTTTGGTTGCCCACGGTACCAGCACTACATATGCATAGGGGTAATTTGGTGATAAGGACGCCAGCAACGTGAGATGCATAAGTTATCATGACCTAGTTACCGAGGAAAGAGTTGCTGCGATGTTGCTGAGCTATCTCGGTTTCGCACGAGATCGGTTGCAGTCACGCCAATGGCCAATGTAAAACTGAGCCAACAAGTCGGCGGCATGGGTTTTCCGCTTCGCTGCATATGTACATACCGATTGCAATTTTACGCTTGCCCAGGGAAGCACCACGGGACTGGCGTAACTCAAAACCCGACAAAAACAACCGTCCAGACTTCTGACGTGGCAATCAGGGCAGGGCATGACATGACTTGTCTGATGCTCTCAGAGCGACGTCTGATATTGTTCTCGTGTGGGGTTCGCACAGCAGCACTTTTGCGGGGAAGTTCTTGGTGGAGGTACATAAAAACGGAACAACGGAGGAGTGTGCCCTCCGGAACGAGAGCTGAAATGTTGAGAATCTTTTCTGGAATCCGCAAGTCCTAAACATAGTCTCGTGCCTGCATTACCCCAAGGAGTACTTGTGCCTGCGGAAACTCCTTTCATGGCATGACCCAACCCTTACCTACCACGTCATTTCTGCTATCCGAAGGTGTCCGAGTCCGTCCTGCGAGAATATGGCGCCGATGATATGCCTCGAGGTACCTTTCTATTCCCGGAGCTGAAGCCACGTCAACATCGGCCTTAGCTCGAGAGGCTCCCGTCACTGAGATCAGAAGACAGGGTGTGTGCCGTGCTCATCTGACTAGTACATACCAAGACGTTGTGGACGTGATATCGGGGACTATTATTCGATGTTGGTCAAGGAGCTTCTGAAGACACATTCACCTTGCCTTTAGAGCAGGTATAACAGTGCGAACGCCCACCATGAAAATGAACTTCCTCTTTCCCTTCCATCTGAAGTATCCGTGTAATGTAGTATAATGGTACAGACGGATTGAGGTCACCAATTTTAGGGCCCACGTTAGTCGACCCCCAACCAGGGGGTCGTTTGTCTGACACTTGCTCCGTTCCCTCTCGTCGCGTCGAGCCAGGATGTCAACGGGCATTATTTCTCGCCTTCACGAATGGCCTCGATATTGCTTGCCAAAGGCTCGCAAAATCGCGCTGGATGTCATCAAAGCCAATCCACCGCTGTCGACCCAAGACATATTTCGACTGGTCAATGGTAACACTGCAGCACAACCTTCGTCGTCGCAGGTGACAGCTACGGGTACTAGACCCCCGCACCCTTTCACGAAGTGTCGGGGCGTGAAGCCACCTTGTGCGGGGAGCCAAATACGCTCTGTCAGGCAAGGCTTCCCTTCGATTTTCTGTTTCTCGTGTGACTAAAGTTCATTTTACAGGTACTTGAAGAAAATAGTTCTCCCTAGTTTGGCGAGTGACAAGGAGATAGAGAAGTTTCATACTAAAGTCGAAACCAAACATTCTCGGACCGCCGACGTTTGGCTATGGAGGGCCAAAGATCGCAAGAAATCCGCGCAGCCTCAACAACAAGCTGCCACGGGAAATAAAGTAGAAGCTCTACCTGCTGAGATAGCTGACCTCCCACCAGCAGCGGTGGGCGTCGGAGAGGACTGGAGTCACCTGAACAGACGTCGTCAGCGCGCGCGAGAGAGGAAGGTCGAGAGAGATTTGAAGTGGATGAGGACTCTGCAGAATGCCAAAAGAGAGGCAGTACAAGAATTCCTAGCGGAAAAGGTTCCATCTGTGTCGTTGGGGATGCCATCATCAAGGTCATCTAGATAAACATACTAATATATACTCCTTGCAATGGCGACTAGAACTGATCACATCATTGATGCTGTATCGACCCTCCCACGAGGGGTTGCGGGTATGAGGTCCTGTCCCCTCCACGGAGTTGCTGCTGCTTTGTGTTTCTCGTCTTTACCCTGTACATACCGCATACCACAATTCACAATGGGTCCTCCACGCCGTGCCCGCTCGAACTCATCTGTGTCGAACCACAACGCTCCCAACAGCCGCTCAAGACAGCCTCCGGACCCGCCCCAACCCGATCCACCTCAATCTCACCAACATCTGGGTATGTCCCCGGCCTCCCGGTACAATGCCAACTTGAAAGTCGTCCGCCGAAGGGACCCCTCCATTGTATCTATATTTGATCAATTTAGTCATGTCTGTGTGTATCATCATAACGGGGACAAGTGGGAGAAGCAGGGGTACGAAGGGAGCATGTTTTTGTATGAACGGTATGTGCTCCCTTGGCATGAATGTTTCCATGTTCTCAACCATGCATACAGCGATACTTATCCGCCATACGGGTTCTATATCATGAACCGTGTTGGCATGGACGACTACAACCAACGATTATACCCTGAGGACGGTGTCGGCGCTCATGGAAACTACCTCATGTTGCGTCATTACCCTGACTTCACTGCTCGCAGAATAACAGATGCGCGGGAAAAACTCCCTCCGTCTGCGCAAGACGGACCCGCAATGAAGTTTGCGTCAGGGTTTGCATTAACCGACCTGGAAAAGCTTCATGATGAGGACAAAGGTCGATCCCAGACGGTCGGTTTGTGGTGTTTGGCGACCGACACTCGAGAGAGCATGACGGAGGTTATGCTCAGGTGAGTGGCTGCAGAATATTAAGGCATCGGATTGCAGGTTAATTATGGTTTGGCCCCACAGATTGCACAGTTATATCAAGAAAAACCTACCTTATCCGGACGAGTACAGGTATGGCCCTGACCGTCCGCCCCCTCCGAATTTCCGCTCACTATCTAGAGCGAGTGGTAAGTTTACTTGTCCCCTTTCAACTTCCTCGGATTCAATAGTCGCAGAACGGGCACATACGCGCTCGGCGTCCAGTGCGTCCAACGCAAGCAGTATTCATAGCATCTCGGAGTCAGGAGAAGATGACGTTCGAGGTGGTCAATCAACCGTCACCCCAGCCTCTGCCCGCAGCGTCTCTGAACTCGACAAACTCTTCGCTAAGCTTGGGGGCAGCGTGTCCACCAACGGCCTCTCCCAGTCTCAACCCTTTCCTCAGGTCCAAGTCCCGAATTACGGGGCTTCAGAGACCACAGCCGCAAGTCTCCTTGCAAATGTGCGCGATCCTTCGCGTACAGTTGTATCCCCTGGGCCCTCTACCACCGCAGTGCCCACACGTGGACTTGAACTCTTGAACACCATTTTCGCATCTGCCACTCCTCCCCCTTATCGTGCCCCATCTCGAGACGAAAACTCCCACTCCTCTGATTTTGCTGCGTCCTCTACGTCGCACAACGTCGTTGCTAATGCTCATACTCCCACTGCGTACTCTCAAGATCACCATATCCTCTCCCCCAAACCCACCACCTCTGCACTTCCACAAGTACTTAATCAGGAAGTCATTTCCACCCTCCTTGGCCTACCACCTTCACGCGCTTCATCCGTCCGGTACGAAGGGGATAACGAAGCGAGCGATGACGGTGCATCTGAACCCGGTTCCTTGTCTTTCAGTGTTCCGCAGCTCGCCGTGCCCCCTGACCACGTCGAATGGTCCACCAAACAGCGTGTCCTAGGGGATGTCACACCTCGTGCTTCTTTACGCGGATTTGATTCAGACATAGATCAAGTTACCAACATTCTCACCGCTGCAGCGTATACTAGCCAACATCAACAACAACGTGCTCAGCCATCGCACACATCCTCGAGTCCTCACCTGCAGGTCCCAGCTACGAAGCCGGCGGTACAACCGCCCGCGATCAATGATGTTTCTTCAACTGCACATTCTACACATGGAAATGTTCTTGGCAGTAACGACGTTACAAACACTAAGAGTGCCTCCTCCACCAACCCCCCGAGAGTTCGCCCTCTCATCCCCTTTGAGACAGACTCAGATCTCTGGCCTTACCCTCGTGCACCACTTGTCGAGACAGACTCGGACATAGTTGAGCTTGACTTTGCGGACACCAGTGCGTTGAGTGACCCGAATGCGTTCGAAAAACGTTGCAAGAGCAAGAAACAGAAGAAGAGCAAGAAGGATAAACAGAAGGAGAGGGAGGAAATTGAGAATAGCTGGGACGTGCCTGCTCCTGTGCCCATCGCCTCCCCATCAGCAGTGTCCTGTAATCCGCCGGCTCCTGTTAACGGAAACGCGAAATATCCCCGCCAGCCCCGCGAGATCCAGGAGAAACCAGTAGTGGCGAAGTCATCTACCCCTGCTATTCCGGCGACACCAGCGACCTCTGGGGCGACTAACTCTACCAATGCCGATGTAGATGGCGTGCGCACTGCACTTCTGTCCACACTCTCTACTTCCCAACATGCCAATCGCCTGAAGAATTTGTCAAGGAAGGATTTTGTGAGCGAAGTACTGTCCCTGATCTATGTACGTGTCTCCCTCGTCGTCTTTAAGAGTTACTCAATCACCTTCTCACGTAGCACAACAACCAATTCGTCGACGATTTGTGGCAACACTATACTTCCCATGATTAGGTCGAGTCGGTCATTGCCGGACAGCTATACGCAGTTGGTTCCTTTGATGCTTCTATACGGTTCATTCCAGGAGAATTGCTACATATATATGTATGTCAAGGATATCTGCGCTCGCTTGGTCCACACCCTTATGCAATGTACTGGCTGCTTCGTACTCTTGATATGTAGAGGAGTGTCGCGCTGAGCAGTGTTGCTGCAAGCGTACGCAGGTATTCCTGTGGCATGTCTGTGGTGTATAGTTGCTCCGTTCATTGCCGAACGGGAAGCGGATAATATGTATGATATATGAATAAGTGTGAAAGAATAGGCTGGGATAAAAGTGAGGAATAGTATTGTGAACCACATGACAGTGAACACTGACCGTACAGCGGCAATATTCACCGTGCCCTGCAAACCACTTCTCCGGGAATGCCCAACAGCAACGCCTCCTTAGCCTCCAGCCACTCATGTTCCTTCTTCTTCGTCCGAACCACCGCAATCTCTCCCATTCCCAAAGGTTTTATCGTCTGCGCTCTCCGACCACTACATATCCTTCTTATTTCGCCAAGGTCCATGAAGACGCGCCGGCTAGGCATGCTAATGAGGCTCATATGTGAGAGAACAGGTCTGTCGTCACGGTATTTGAGTTCTGCCCATATCCGCCGCTGTGCTTCGCCGACGCGTTCGAAATCGGATGGTGAAGGGGCTGAGATGGTCCCACGAGTGATGTTACTGAGAAAACCGGCACGAAATAGGATGGAAAGGATTCCGAGATTCTGCGTGGAATGGTCGACGGCTACGAAGCGGTGTCGCGCGCGGAACGCATTTGGGAGACGCGCGCAGAGGTCGTAGGGGAGCGGCATCAGAGACTCGTCGACTTGCAGAGGAAAAGAAAAGTTTGGCTAAACCCGTTGCTTATGTAAGCGACCGCCCCGATCACTTCCAGCGCCCAGGGGGAGCCCGTGAAATGGTATCTGCGAGCTCACACTTTGATCGGAAATGAGTTTCAAACATGGCATTGCCGATTTTCGGTTCTGTCCTGACTCGGAACGAGAAGTGTCAGTAACTAGGCGTGTACTCCGTCCGCAAAAGACACGGGCAACCCATGACAATACCGAAGCCGGGGTATCCCAGTCCCTCTCTGAGATACCCGAATGCCTCGATGACGACATCCCTGCGTCAACGAGAAAGCGTAAAAGAAAACCGGAAGATAATAAAACACAAGAGGGTGACTCGATAGCAGCGGTATCCCCAAAGCCCAGGCGCACGAACAAGAAACCAAAGCGAGGGTATGCGGATCCGGAGGTATACGCTCATCTCCATCTCCTTCAAGATTATCTACAAGAAAATCTCGACGGTACGTATGACGATTTCTTAGAAAGAACGTATAACACGACATCTTGTTTTCTCATTCCCAGTCGTTTTTTGTGGTATAAAGTGGGCCACTACCTTGTTATCTGTGTCTTTTCGATGCTGAAGTGGGTAGCCCGGGTTACATGTCTGCCGAGACAGGTCATCATTTCGCAAATCCGACGAACCACTTCTGGCGCTGCTTGTATCATTCAGGTGATTCCTACTTCCGGCGTCGTCCACTCAGAACGTAGACAATGCGACTGACTATATAATTTGCCATCAGGATTGACCTCGACCTTGTTGCCTCCATCCGAGGACTATTCATTGCCTGAAAGGTACAATCTTGGTCTGGTATTTATGCCCCTCCACCGTAATTTTTCCTTTCTGTCGCTCACGAACATGGTATCGCAGACCAATATTGTGGATAGGCCGTCTGCAGAGGTATCTGCTGCACCCGGTAGAGCTCTGCATATATACTTGATGACCTATTTGCTTAGGCAGCGGAGCTCTCGATGTCAGAAATGAAGGCTGCAATTCCAGTCTTCCTTAGAAAGATCTCCCGCTACAGGCCGCGTTTCGTCTGTTTCGTGGGGATGAGGATATGGACAGTAATCAGGAAAGCCCTGGGTCAATTGCAGCTATCTTCCGGTTCGTGTTCCTCCGAATCCCAAGGTGGGGGAGATAGGGAACGCAAGGCCAGAAAAAATGGAAAGGGCAGCGGGAACGGAAGTAAACAAGAAAAGGACCGCTTGGGGTTGCAGCCGTACAAGCTCGTCTATCCAGCCGAGGCCGGTAAGCCTTTGCCCGTTTTTCAGAATTACCAGTGCTCTCACGTGCGTTCAGGGAGGCTGGCAAGTGAGACATTCTTTTTCGTGGTCCCCAGCACCTCTGGGAGAGTCGTGAAATACCAAGTGAGTAAGGTTTGTTCTGTCTAGACCCTGCGACTCATATCTGAACTCCAGTTCTCCGATAAAATCAGCTATTTTTCTGAGCTACACGAGTTACTTCGGAAGTCACCGTCTGCGATTGGCGCCCAAAATATGCTGCCAATATCAGTAGAGACGCTTGGACAAGATATGTGAACTCGAATTATTCCTATCAATCTGCGGTATTCAAGTTGGAACATCTAAACATCTATCTAGCATGGTTGTTGTACTAAGCATCGTAACGATCCACCAGATGGTTCACCTATGTGGCAGAGATGTTTTGTTGAGTCCTTTTCTGTTATCTATCCTACTGCCATTAGGTGCGGACGAAGACAGTGTAGGAGATCACGCCTGAACCAGTTCCTCGCGACACCAAGTGTGACGGCCAGTCCTTGCCTACATATGTATTGTGGGCCGTCCTTTATGTCGATGCTGATCGACGCGAACGACACGTCGCGAATTGGATAGAAAGTGCGCATTCTAGCGCCAGAGAGAATTACACCTCTCCCTCTCTTCGCAACACCATAGTCTTTCCGTGTGCCGGGTTGATGGTAACCTCGATGACAGGCCCTTCGTGTATGCCAAATAGCCTTGCGCTATCCCCCGTAGTCTCTTCATGCTCAGGAAGCCTCGGCGGATTCGCGAAGCGCACAGTACTGATGCGTAGATCTGACAGGGTACCGGAAACCTGGGATCGAAGGTATTGTCGAGTGTTCAGTGATGCTAGAAGTGAGTTGGGATATACTATTCAATAGTCAGCTGGAGTGTTATGTCCATTGCGCGCAAAGCATGGAAGACTGACACCCTTGAGCAACGAGGTCTAATGCCATTATCCATGCATCTTGGTGCTCGAAGGCCTGAAGGAGGCGTGAGAGTGACATAGTCATCTCGCAGTATGGCACACGCACCACGGCGAGCTCTCCAATGGCGACTAGTCTACGATGAAAAGCCTGAATCAGGCCACAGCTACAAACAGAGGAGAGATGGAACTTACAATGTCAGCACACACCGGTTAACAGCGTAGATGATAAGTGTATTCAAGAGGCGCTTTGTGCTAAAGCAGACGTCATTAGAAATGAACCACTGAAGTGGACCGGAGTTACCTTGGAAATGCAGAGTCAGAGCGACTGCTGTAGAAGAGTACACAAAGTGACACGGTAATCAGGACCTCAGTTAGTACGATGATGGCAAAAGCCGGGGTTAGAACGTAAAGCTAGGAAGAAGTCAGCCGATGCACCAATTTCTCTCCTAATGGAATTACCGAGATCTGTGTAAGGGCGCTGGTCTTGTGAATGACGAACCTATACACAAGGATCAGCATTTCTGTGAGCATAGTTGGACAAGTCAAGTACTCCAGAACAACTGCCGCTGCCTCTTGGTTAGAATAGACCTCTCGCGACAAAAAAAGACAAACCCATGCCAAACCCTGTTGAAATACCATTATAAATGCTTCCTAAACTCAATAAAGAACGTACCAATCTGACCCAGTATTAATAGCATCTGTCACAGCTCCGTCATTGCATGATATGATTGCCACGACAATGTACTCACAACTGGGGCGGTCACCCACCACTTCACGTGAGGGCGACAAACTGGACGCTGTCAGAAAAGTCCCGAGAGGCAGGTTAATACGACCTACGGTAATATATTTGATGGACGAAGAAGCTGGTAGCATCTAGCTTAAAAACGTCAAGCCATAATAGACAGTAACTTACCATTGTACTACAGCAACCACAAGTACCTGTAATACTGCTAAATCTTGTCATAGACAGTTTTGAGATGAGGGGAACGCACATGCACCAGAACCGATGCCTAGGTGTTCATGTCAGCGGCGGCTCCCGGGTAAAAATTTGGGTATGCATACTTGAAATGACCTGCCACATCTCATCAATGGCAAGCAATCTCAATTAAGACAGAGAAGTATACGAACCAAACAATATATCCCAAACTCGCCGGAATGCCGTAGTTAGTTATCTGCCGAATTTGAGAATGACAACTACGAGGACCAAGTGGGATGGTTTCACCAAATAGTAATACAACATATGACACACTGATCGACCGTTAGCCATGCGTTCACTTGCACACCAAGTACGTACTGAACAAAACATGTAGGGTATCAAGAATCCTGACTTCACATGAGCAGATCTGACTGGCGTCCCAAGTTGGCGTAACTCACCATATGGCAGCAACCAGGAGCTTTGTGGCCGAGGCGTCCTCGGGGTATTGCATGTAATACACGTAAGTCTATATAGTCAGTGAGTCGGGCACTAGGCTGAACATTAGGTTTAAAACGTACCTGGAGAGTTGCTATGCCATATAACCTTGACAGGAAGTAAGGTGATGAGAGGAGGATATGTGAGGAGGTCAAGCAAAGCCACACATACATGGCGGAGACCAAACCTCCGATGAGGGCAGAACCTATGCAAATACATGAGCGGTCAAGATTGTGGCCAGCTACTCTTGCATTGAAGGTCTTCACCGAACCCGCCTGGAATGCCCATGTCGTTTGGGTGTCCTAAATAAGGGAAACTTGTTGATGAATTCGTTGCGAAATGTGGTGATCGAGGAGTGATTACTGAAGCGCTGATAAGGGAGCAGTCCTGCCCTATCTTTATGCGAAGGCCGCATTACATAGTATGATCCGAGCACTTGGACCGTCCTCGTGCAGCTTTGAAAGATCTTGAAACACTAGATGTAATCTTGTGATTGGGTGGGGCGCAGCTTAGTGTGTAAGATGACAGAAATAGTACAAGTCTTACAAACAATGAACTCCAAACCTGTCCACGAACAGGAAATCGTTGGATGCCGGCCTCTGAACATTGGGAGGTAGCGAGTGGTTGGGGAAATGTCAATTCAAGTATTCGTTCGTGGTGTTGTAACTTGGCAAGTGCTCACCATCCTATGCCACATTATACCCATGACAAGCACTCACACTGACAACAACCTATCAAGCACACTTTAACTAAAGCTCCAACCTTTGAAAATTATTCAACCGCCAAATACAACTTTCCCCCAGCTCCGCAACAGGTTTTCTTTTCACACACTGCATCCCGGTTGCTAGCGATAACGCAAAGCGGGGACACAAGAGGGGAGGCATGCGTTGAGCACTGGGGCCGCATCACTGCTAGTAAGACAGTTCGATGCGGATATTGGTTTTTCGTTTGATCTCCGTTCGACGTGAGACGATCAGGTGGTGAGCGTAGTGACTTCCACTGGTTGCAACACTAACCTCCTATTTTGAAACCTAGAGCTGATGCGCTGAAGCGGGAAGGAAACAAAAGACTAAGGTCGGTATTCCTTTGGCGAGGGACTCCCTTACGTCAAATGCGATGATCAGCAAGGCCAACGCCAGTGACGACAGCTCTCAGAATGCGTCCAGAGTGACTACTTGTGGCCAGTCCTGAATTCGAATGGGCTTCATCACATCATCCAGAACGCCGTTGGACTCTCCTCGCTCCCACTGCCATTGCCCTGCGCGTCCTTAATTCAACACCAGAGACAACTAGCTGACTGTCGGATCAAACCAATTGGTCGTATCTATGGTACCATGCTGTCATCCTCTGATGTCTTTCGGACGACAGATCACGCTCCAGTTATAACTAGTACTCATGGACGGGAGCTCGAAGGTCCCGCTGAGCTTTGTGGTGGCTAATCGGCTCACTTACGCAAACCAGTTTTTACACCTTCTGTGTCCACCTATTCCATTTGCTACGGTCCTCAGGCGACATAGGTACCTCGGGAAATGAAGCATGTGGCATTCAGCGGACAACCATGATCTCTCTACCTTGCGAGCCCTACGGATGTAGAGACTGCACCTTAATTTTGTGGCATCAGAGTAGTCCTTTGATATGGTGAGGTGATAATGGACTGTGTCAATCCTATATTTTATTGATATTGATCCATGCGAATGACACGCCGTCATGGATAGATTGGAGAGCGCCGATTTCAGGGATGGAGTATACACAGCATTAGGTTACACTAGGGAGGTTGTACCGTAAACAATGACCCTCCGTGAGCCTTACTGCGAGGCAAGAGGAGTATCATGCATGCACGTGATGTTCTCTTTCTTCTGAAAGTTTCGGCAGCTTCACCAAGTGGACAGCATTAATGCGTTCGTTTGGCCCAGAACCCAAAACCCGAGATTGCAGGTATTGTCGGGTATTCAACGATGCTAGAAGCGAGTTCGTGTATACTAACCAATAGTGAGATGGAGTGTTCTCAGTGCTCGCAAGGCACGGATGACTGACATTTTCCAATGATGAAGTCCAATCCCATTGCCAATGTATCTCGATGATCAATGCTCTGTAGGTAGGCAGTGTGAGAGGGTAACATAGTCATCTTGCAACGGGTAGTACACACCATGGTAAGCTCTACAATGGTGACTAGTCTACCACGAAAAGGTAGAACCAAGTTACAGTTACAAACGAAGGAGGGATCAAACTTACAAAGTCAGCAAACCCCGGTTAATAGCATAAATGATAAGCGTGTTCAAAAGACGCTTCGTTCTAACACAAGGTTTTCTTAAGGAGTGACCACTGACACGCCGGACCGGACTCACCCTGAAAATGCAGAGCGAGAACCACTGTCACGCAAAAGTATGCAGAGTGACACCGTAATCAGACTCTCAGAAAGTATGAGGGTCGCCGCCAAGGGTATTACAATGGAAAACTAAAGAATAGAAACTCGTGAGCTGGTACACCGATTTCTCTGTCAGATGAATTACCCTAATCTGTGTGACATTGATCGTGTCATCGATGAACCTAATCACAGATCAATATTCCGGAGGAAACGGTTAAACGGATAGGAGTACATCATAACCACCATTCCTATTTGTTGATTAGAATAGGTCTGACATGGTGAAAGGAACAGGACAAACCCATGCCAAACCCTTTGAAAATCATATCATTGGGAATACTTCATTGGTGATGGAATGAATAAAACTCACCGAAGTGAACCAGTACTAATAGTAGCTATCGCAACCATGTCACTGGACGATATCTGCCATCACAAGTAATGTGTACACTCACAATTGGGGCTGTCACCAACCACTTCACTTGAGGGCGACAAACTGAATAACAATCAACAAAGTCTTGACAGGTAGCTGAATGCGACATACGGTAATATATTTTATGTGCGAAGAAGCTAGTAGCATTCGCTCTACTATAAGCACCGGCGTGGAATGGTTAGTCACTTACCATTGAACTATGGAAACCACAAGCAACTGTAATGCTACTTAACCTTGTTAAATGATTCTAGAAATGAAAGAAACGCACATTCACCAGAACTACCACCTAAGCGGAGAAAACATTCTAAATCAGCGATTGGTAGTAAATTGGATAGGCATGGTAGTACCGGTGATGACCTGCCATTTCCCATCAGTAGGTGGAAGCTTTAAAATGGAAATCATACAAACCAGATAATATACTCCAAACTCGTCGGAACCCCATAATTGATTATCTGCAGTGATTGAGTACAACAGTTACGGGAAGTAGACGTGTCTGCTTCACCAGGTAGTAATACAACATATGACACACTAATCAACCATTAGCCATCCATTCACTTGAACATACCAAATACCCACTGAACGAGACGTGTAGGGTATCAAGAGTCCTGGCCTCTCATGAGCAGATTGTACGGGTGCCCCAGGGTGCAGTTAACTCACCATATGGCAGCGACCAGGAACTTCACGGTCGAGGTATCCTCAGAGTAGTACATGAAATACACATAAGTCTTTATAACCTAGTAAGTAGAGCACGAGCCTAAACATTCCATCCAAAACTCCCCTGGAGAGTCGTTATGCCATATAACCTTGACATGGAACAAGGACGTCAGACTCAGAGGGAAAACGTGATAAAACCACGCAAGCAACACACTACACACATGGCAGAGACCAAACCCCCAATGAGAGTAGATCCTATTACGAACAAATGAGCACACAAGACCACACTTGGCTATGTCGTGAAGGAACTCACCAAACCCGCCGGGGATACCCATTTCGTTTGGGTAGTTTGTATAAGGGGAGCTCGTCAATAAACTCACTGTGGACTGTGGATAGTGAAGTGATGGGGCGTAGCGAGAGCCTTCTGATCAATCCCGTATTTCTTTAAACGACGACGATGACGGCTGCATTAATATGATCAGGGGAACCCGCATTGCCTCGAGCAGTGCATTTCACGAGGTAGACACGGATGACGGAAGCTCGATTAACTCCCCAGCACTGCCTTTCCTGAGCACCGACACCTTCGGCCTCACGATGGACTTGCCGTCATCAGAAAAAAACCGAGACATGGATGGCAAACGAAACATACTATACCGACAACTCGTTGTTTGAGCCGTCGTCCAAATCTGCAAGTTCTGTAGGCCATGAGACCAAGAGCAAGCTACATAATTCCGATGTTGGACAAGCAGTTACAGGGTGCTGGATCTGAATCGTGTCGGGGAGGGTGACTGTGAGACGCAAGTCCAAATGGGCATTAAAAAGTGATGGCTTGGCATCACTCTGGCCATAGAGAGGTGATAGAATTTACGAAACGTCAACTCAACCAAGTTCACCCCTGGGTCGAAACTCATCCATGGTGTTCCAGCCTTCCAGGCAATATTGTCAGAGCCCGTTTGCAAATAGAAGGCTGGTAGCCAGACCTGAAGGTAGTGATCTGAGCATGCTACAATTGAAGGCAATCGTCCCATCTTTTCTCCCGCCCTCAAGTGGGGGATACCCTGTGGTGGTGGAGCGCATCAGTGACCGTTGTGGCATTCTCCTCACAGGTGAGGTTTTTGCTGCAGGGTCAAAGGCAGTACAACTCCCACTGCTGTCGGAGTACATACCCTGACCAGAATGAACATGCAATAAGAGATGCTTGCGAAACACCTCCAATTATCATCGTCATCACCCCGGCACACACGTCGATTGACCCTCCACGACAACCAATAACTCATGGCACCATGCTATCTCCTCCAATGTTTTCATGGTGCTCTGATTTTAGCCTGAACACCCTCGTGCAGACGGGTGGCCGTTCATATTCAGCACGGCACTATCTACCAGTGCAACAGCCTTACTCTATCTTCGGTTGTCTTGGGTTTCGCTCCCGTCCCTCCACCGGCCACTCATTTATAGGGTTCAAAAGTAGGAAGATGGCTCCTTGTAGCGACAGAGTAGCATTTGGAATACAGGTACATATGCTAGTAACATGTCCTCCTTCTGACGTGCCTCGCACTCGTCTTTCGTCGCCATCGAAATAGCATAGACGACGGAGTTGATGCCAGAACAATCGCTGGGGACGAGTCCATGGCAGTTTTCCCACCGTGCGCGAATGTATTGGGCTTCTTTCTGGTAATTGCCCTTTGCATCTCTACATCTGCCCTTGCGTAGCCGTTTGACCGCATCTTGTACACAGCCCTCCCCGCCATGGTGAGTGCATGTTTCACGGTCCGCTTGTCTATTGTGCAGGCAGTGCCGACAACGATGAATACTGCCATCACCAGCTCGCTTCTAGCATCACTGAACACCCGGGAATACCTTCGATCCCAAGGTGGAATTACCATGTCCAGTCTACGCACGCATGAGTGCTATCCACTTTGCAAACTTGCCGAAGCTTCCGGGGGACGTCGAGAGTTCTAGGGATGGAGCAAGGTCGTTTGGCGTGCTCGAGATGGCTGTTATGATATGACCACCGATCCTACGCTTGATAAAACTACGACATTGCGAAGAGAGGCAGAGTTGTAATTAGAAGGTAAGTTCTAGTAGTTCCATGCAGTATCCGTAATTCGATCTTTTCCCCACAACATGACACAGTGTAGCAATGAAATATCCCGAACCTGGAAGCTGCTTCTCTTGTCCTGTGGCTCTGACAATCTATGGTAAGCCTCACCCACACAGAAGTAGCAGCCAGTGGTCTAGTTTTCCTCTGTGAATGAGCTTCGGAGGCGGCCATCCACATAAGATGCCCTGTGAAGTGGCGCCGCTATCTGTCATTCGATCTCAAGATCGCATAGGTGGCTAGAAGACTGTGCACTGTGCAACATTATTTTTGAGAGGCAGGACGGGAGAACCGAAGTGGAGCCAAAGACTGTTGGGTCGTACTTCTCCATGGAAAGCTCCGACAACTGCCACTCATGGCAGTTCCATGGAATCTCAGTATCAGCAGAACATCGAAGGAACGGTTGATGTTCCTTTGATAACAAAATTTCACGATTCAAATGCATCAACAAGGCCAGTTGAACTTCTCTCAAAATACGTCCAATACGTCCAAACTCATGACGGTTCGTAGCCAGTCGTGATGTTGAGCCGTTCTCATGATTGCGCCGTGGTCTAGGTTGCCGCCAACTATCCCCCTCGCTGCCGTCGTCATCGCCCTGCTCGTTCTCAGTCGTCCTTGCAACTCCGAGGACCCCTGCGCACGCTTGGACCGTCCTGGCCAGCACCCCAACCCATTCGATCGCATTTGCTGGTTCATCCATGGCTGAATGCTGCCCGCCTCCGCTCTCTTTTGGACAATACGTTACGCCCTGGTTTCAGCTACTATACACGGATTGGAGTTCAACGTTCAACAGGGATGCAGTGCACCCAGAACGTGTTGTCTAGGTCCCGTTCGACTACGTGATGGCTCACACACCCAAACTAATTTCTTACATCCAGCTCTTCGATTTGGCAAAGTCCTCCGGTGATAGCGGGTACTTTGGGAAATGACACGCACAACTAACAGGAGAACCATGGTCTCTCTACGTTACAAAGGGTTCGAGATGTAAGGGCCGCACTGTGGCGTGTGCCCTCACAGCAATAGCAGTCCTTTGATACACGAGGCACCATTCCTGTGGATGTCATGGAGCGCCCTGGTATCAAAAACACTAGTCAACACCGTATTGGAAATTAGTTCCCTTTGCAAGCCTCAACACTTGGAAGACAAGAAATCTAAACTCGAATCATTCCTGCCAGTCCGCAGTATTCAAGTTGGAACACTAAACACCTATCTAACGTGATTGTTACACCACGTATCGTAATGATCTACTGGATGGTTCATCTGGCAGACGTGTCTTGTTGTGTCCTTCGCTGTATGTAATCTAATCTACCTACCATCATGTGGCTGCCGTGCAAGTGGAGACCAAGACAGTTTAGGGGAGCAGGCCTGAGCCAGCTCCTAGTGTGAACACAGTCAAAACTTGACTACATATGTACATATCAGTGTTTGGTCGATGCGAATGACGTCCCGCCCGTCGCGAATAGGGAGAGTGGTACACCATGAAGTTGGAATCTAGGAAACGGTATACAGGGGGTTATTATCCCTTATTAGCCTCACTCCATGTAGGGAAGAGTTCAATACACTAGTGGAGACAAAAAAAGGCAGACACAGCGTGGAACTGTTAGAATCACGCCTCTCCCTCTCTTCGCAATACCGTAGTCTTATCGGGTGCCGGGTCGATGTTAATATCAATGGCAGATCCTTCGTGTATGCCAGATAGCCTTGCTCTATCCTGTGAACTCTCTTCATGCCCCGGAAGCTTCGGCAGGTTCGCAAAGCGCATAGTATTGGTGTGTAGATCTGACAGGGTACCTGAAACCTGGAGTTGAAGGTATTGCCGAGTGTTCAGTGATGTTAGAAGTGAATTGGGATACACTATGCAGAGGTGAGCCGAAGTGTTATGCTCATTGCGTACAGAGCATGGAAGACTGACACCCCTGAACAATGAAGTCCAATGCCATTATCCATGCGTCTTGGTGCTCAACGGCCTGGAGGAAGTGTCAGAGTGACATAATCATCTTGCAGTATGGCATACATACAACGGCGAGCTCTCCAACGGCGACTAGTCTACGACGAAAAGCTTGAATCAGGCCACAGCTACAAACAGAAGAGAGACGGAACTTACAATATCAGCACACACCGGTTAACAGCGTAGATGATAAGTGTATTCAGGAGACGCTTTGTGCTAAAGCAGGCGTCATTAGAAATGGACCACTGAGCCGGACCGGAGTTACCTTGGAAATGCAGAGTCAGAGCGACTGCTGTAGAAGAGTACACAAAGTGACACGGTAATCAGGACCTCAATTAGTACGATGATGGCAAAAGCCGGGGTTAGAACGTAAAACTAGGAAGAACCAGTCAGCCGATGCACCAATTTCTCTCTTAATGGAACTACCGAGATCTGCGTAAGGACACTGGTCTTGTGAATGACAAACCTATACACAGGGGTTAACATTTCTGTGAGCATGGTTGGACAAGGGAAGCACTCCAGAACAGCCGCCGCTGCCTCTTGATTAGAATAGGCCTCTCGTGACCGGAAAAAAAAAGGACAAACCTATGCCAAACCCTGTTGAAATATCATTATACATGCTTTCTAAACTCATTAAAGAACGCACCAATCTGACCCAGTATTAATAGCATCTGTCACAATCCTGTTATTGCATGATATGTTTGCCATGGCAAGTAAATGTACTCACAATTGGGGCGGTCACCCACCACTTCACTTGAGGGCGACAGACTAGGTGCCGTCAGACAAGTCCCAAGAGCCGGTTTTAACACGACCTACGGTAATATATTTGATGGACGAAGAAGCTGGTAGCACCTAGTTTATGAACGTCAAGCCATAAGAGACAGTAACTTACCATTGTACTACAGCAACCATAAATACCTGCAGTACTGCTAAATCTTGTCATAAATAGTTTTGAGATGAATGGAACGCACGTGCACCAGAACAGATGCCTAAGCGTTCAAATCAGTGGCGGCTCCTGAGTAAAAGTTTGGGTATGCATACTTGGAATGACCTGCCACATCTCATCAATGGCAAGCAATTTCAATTGAGATAGAATGGTATGCGAACCAAACGATATGCCCCAAACTCTCCGGAATACCGTAGTTGGTTATCTGCCGTGATTGAGAACGGTAGCTACGAGGATTAGACGGGACGGTTTCACCAAATAGTAATACAACATATGACACACTGATCGGCTGTTAGCCATGCGTTCGCTTGTACACCGAGTACTTACTAAATGAAGTATGTAGGGTATCAAGGATCCTGACTTCACATGAGCAGATTTGACCGGCGTCCCAAGTTGGCCTAACTCACCATATGGCAGCAACCAAGAGCTTTGTGGCCGAGGCATCCTCAGGGTATTGCATGTAATACACATAAGTCTATACAACCAATAAGTCGGGCAACTGAACATTAGGTTTAAAACGTGCCTGGAGAATTGCTATGCCATATAACCTTGACAGGAAGTAAGGTAATGAGAGGAGGATATGTGACGAGGTCAAGCAAAGCCATACGTACATGACGGAGATCAACACCCCGACGAGGACAGAACCTGTATTGCAAATACATGAGCGGTCAAGACTGTAGTTAGCTACTTATGAATTGAAGGTCTTCACCGAACCCGCCCGGAATGCCCATGTCGTTTAGTATAAGGGGGACTTGCCAATGAATTCACAGTGGGCCGTGAATGGAGAGCGTGGCGAGGGCCTATCAATCCGTCAACAGAGAAATCCGATTCTATGATTTAAACGACGAAGGCTGCATTAATATAGTCAGGAAAAACCGCGTTACCCCGAGCAGTGCATTTTACGAGGTAGACTAAACCGTGAAAGAACGTTCTCGATGTCAACTCCAAACGTTCCATCCGCAGCTCTATTACATAATAGATAAGATAGACTTCTTGCTGCTGCGGTATAATGTACCTACTTAGAGGTGAGACTGAGCATACACTTAACGCAGCCTTCGCCAGTCGGGCCTGACTCGGAACGGGACGACTAGTGTCAGTGATCATCATGGCTTGGTGTGTGCCTCCGTTCGCAGATGTCGCAGGGAACTCATAACAATACCGAAGCCGAAATATCCCAGTCCCTCAAGGTATCCGAATGCACCAACAACGATACCCCCGCGTCAAGGACAAGGTGTAAAGGAAGACGGGAAGATAGCGAGACACACCAAAAGCCTGGCGACACAGCAGTGGTAAAATTCGTAAGAGCCAAGTGTCCAAACAAGGGATCAAAGCGAGGGTACGTATATCCGGAGGTATCCGCTCATCTCCATTACTCCTTCAAGACGAATCTCGGTGCCGTGCGCATGTAGCATGACATGTTGCCTTCTCTTCCTCCTCTTGCCTGGGCATCCCACTCGTTCTTTGTGGAATAAAGTAGGCCAATACCCTGTTACTTGTGTCTTTTCGATGCTGAAGTGGACAGCACGGGTTACATGTTCGCCGAGATATCAGCTTGCAAATCCGACGAACCACTTCTGGCGTTGCTTGTATCAATGAGGTGATTCCTGCCCCCCCCCCCCCCCCATAAAAAATGCGATTAATTATACCATTCGCCGTCGGGATTGACCTCGACCTTATTGCCATCCGAGGACTACCAAAGGTACAATCTTGGTCTGGTACTTGTCCGCCTTCAGCGTATTTTCCCCTCCATCACTCACAAACAATGGCGCAGAGTAATATTGTGGACAGGGTGCCTGCAGAGGTATCTGCTACACCCGGCAGAGTTCTGCAGACTTGATCATTTCTTTGCCTGGGCAGCGGGGTCTCCGTATCAGAAATGAAAGTCGTGGTTCTAGCTTTCCTTAGAAATATTTCTTGCTACAGGCCGTCTTTCGTCTGTTTCGTGGGTGTGGGGATATGGATAGTCATCCGGAAAGCCCTGCGTCAGCTGCAGGTGGGGACGAAGGTAACGACTTGAGTAATCAGGCCCAACTCGGGGCTAGTTCCTCGCAACGCAAAATGTAACGCTCAGTCCTTGCCTACACATGTATTGTGGTACGTTTTTTTGTCGGTATTAATCAATGTAAATGACATACCGTCGTGAATGGAGTAGAAAGTGCACATTTCAGCACCAGAACCAAGTTGCGGAGTCTGGGCGGCGGTGTACCGGAAATTGTTATCTTCGCATATCGTAGCTGTACGAGCTGGAGAGGGAAAGGTGTGGGATTGGTAGCTGTATGATACGTATGGGCAGGAGTGGGCGAAGGCGCGAAGTGCCTTCCGGCCGTGATGAGAGGGTGATCTGAGACGAGCGTCAGCTGTGGATCCCGGGTTTTAGGAGGGCCTTGTCCGACGCGATGGGCTGACGCTCGGATCCCCAACAGATAGGAGGACAATGGCGTTTACTCATGATACATGTTTGTGGGCTCAGCGGACTGGTGGCATGGCGATGCGTACAAAATCGGTAGCCATTTCTGTAGGCATGGCTTGTATGTATGGTGTGAGGATTTGGTTGTGTTTCCGTAGATAGAGTTGAAATGCGTCGCTTGCCCACCTCCCTTTGACTTTCATAACTTCGAAGGGAACTCCTCGGAGTAGATATTCCAGCATGGCTCCTATCCTCAGTCCGTGTCCGTGTACGTGGTTGTGCCCCGCTGCTTTGGCTAGTTTCTTCATTCGTGAGATGAAAGTGTGGCGGGCTAGCGGTCGATGTTCGCCTCCCTTTTTGTACGCGAATAAGTGACCATTCTCGGGTGGACTGTTGATTAGTAGGTGCCAGGTGAACGCTGCATGGGGGTTGGATGGGCCTGATTGTTTCGCCCAGTTCACCTCTTCTCCCCGGGGGTTAGATTTTGTACTCGACAGTAGGAACACTGTTGTGCTGAGGCCATTTTGGTCGATGTCTTCGCATACTCCTTTGGGGGTGATGTGGAGTGCTGGGTCGAAGGAGTCGAGGCATTTGACAGTGAACTCTCCTACTCTGGCAGCTGCATAGAATATGGTGGTTAGGCAGGTGAAGACTGCTATGTCCATGGGGTCCTTGCTCTGTAGCTGCCTGTGAAAATCACATATCATCTGTACTGTGATTGGTCTCCAGAGGTTCTGATTGGAAGAGGAGGGGGCTATCTTGGTTGCACCTTTTAACATTGTCACTATCTGGTCCTTGTGTATGATCCAGGGCAGACCATTGAGAGTGTGCCAGGCATGCACACTGTAGATGTAGCCATGTATCATCTTGCCTGAGTAGGAGCCAGCTAGGGATGATATGAAGGTGGAGATCAAAATAGTGTCTGCAGGGGCTCTTTCCTCCTCTGGGATGTCCAGGCTATCGCAGAAAACATGGTATACTAGGAGCCCAGCCCCATACAATGCTCTGGTGCTCTCGTTCCATCCCCTGAGGGTGACATCTCAAACCCTATCCCAGAAGTCTGGTGGGATGTTCAGAGACTGTGCAATGCTGGGATGCAGTTGCCATTGCTCTAATCTGCCTTTTGCTGGGCATAATGGCTGCAGTTCAGATGGTTTTGGCATCAGGTTTGTCAGGTAGGGGAGAATGATGGTAGGTTTCTGTGAAGAGTGTGATTGCTGGGCAGCTGGTGTTGTGATGGTGTTAAGGAAATTTATGTTGGACTGTGAAACTGCTGGAGTGTGGGTCATCAAAATTGAATATGAGGTGTGCGATGGGGTCTGGGATTGGGATGGGGGGGAGAGCAAATTCAGAGGGGGGATAGATGCCCTGAGAAGGTTTGTCTGCTGGGTTGTCTTCACTTGGGACATAGTCTGCGAAAATTCTGCACAGGGGAGAGGTGAGTAGAGTGTGGATCCTTCAAAAGGTTTCATTTGTGGGCCTGTTGTTGCTTCATCCTTTCTTCCAAGCCTTGATGACTCCCTCATTGTCCCCAAAGACATGTAGAGGTTTGGGGGAGGGACAGATGTTGAGGAGGTAACATACAAGGAATTCGAAAGCCATGCTCTCTGCCCAACCAATGTCCCTCTTGTCTCCCTTCCAGTTTGCATGCAACTTCCAGGCTCTCCATCTTTCCCTGATGATGATTGCCAGACTGACACTGGAGCTGGCATCTGAAAATGCACAGAGGTCTATTGCTGACAGGTGGATGGGGATGGGGATGGGGAGAGATTGTTGTAGGGTGTTTTTCCACCAGCATAGTTCATTTTGTAAACCTCAAGGTGGAGTGCAGGGCATGAATGGTTTTTCACTGAAAATGGTAAGCATAGCTTGTAGGGATGTTAGGTAAGCACTTCCCCCTGGGATTACTAGCACTGCATGGGCAAGTCTCCTGTGGAGTTTCTGTACCTCTTCTAGGTTATGTGCTTTCTTTTTCAGCCATTCATCTATAGATGTAGTGTATTTCTCTCTTTTGTTTGCTGTGAGACCTACTGTTTTTTCATCTAGGTTCCATAGGAAACCCATGAATGTTTGTGACTGGGAAAATGGGGTGTCCTTGGAGGGTTCCCAGGGTATTCTGAGTTGATCCACTACCACATCAATGTGTTTGAAGGAGTAGGTGTAAGCATCATTGTGCAAGGCAAATTCATTGGTGTCCTCAAAGGTTTTTAGGGGATGGAGGCAATCTTCTGTGAGTTCTTCATGGTCTCCGTTGGCTAGTGTTGCACCTTTGTACCATAGCCATCCATTGTCTATCTTTGTTCCTCCATTTTGTGAGATTGTTTTGGCTTTCTGGGCCCTGATGAGGTTGTATTCAAGTACTTGGGATCTGGGTAAGCATATGAAGAAATGGTCATCTACCCATGCTATTATGGGGCCAATTCCCTCAGCTCACATGATATCTAAACTTGCATCCCTGAGTCCCCCATAGACTCCTGCTGATGGTCCATACCCAAAACACAGTGCTGTATCAACAGCAAAGGTCAGTGGTGTTTCTGAGAGGTGCACTACCAGACCTGGCCACTGGGATGGGTGGATGGGTATTGTCCTATAGGCTTCTGCTACATCTCTTGTTGCTCCTTGGCATCCTGGGGGGAGTGACACTATTAAAGCACATATTGTGAGGAACATTCCCCACATGCATGGGAATAAAGAAGAATCAACACAAGAGTCGATCGAAGCAGTGACACCATGTCTAGGTACAATAGGGTAAGATAGGTTTTGTATTAGTCAATACTTTCCTGGTTTTCCAGGTTTTGGTATGATACTAAGGATGGAGGATTGGAAGGGTCCTATGTACTGTTCGAGGAGGTGGGGAGGGAAAGGGCCTAGATAGCGACTCCATGCAAACTCTCTGTTGACTATCTCCTGGAAAGCATGATGGTGTTGGGCTATAGATGGGCTGTTTGGGGGGGTGTATGTTCAGGGTATGTTAGGTATGTGGACATGGAAGCCATAGGTGAGTTGGTAGATTAGGGATGGGTATTTAGAAGTGAGATGGTGATGCACAAGTAGTCTCTCCCAGGCTTGAGGGTGGTATGGGGTTAGGGTGACTCCTCTCTGTCTTGATTCAAGTGGGTTGGCAGTGGGGACAGTCCTGAGCTCTGTGCTTTGAGTCTCCACAGCCCAAACACTCATGGCAGTGCAATTTGCTTGTGCAGCCACAGGGGTGTTGGAAATCCCAGCAGAGGATGCAGCTGCTCTTGTTGACAAGGTGGCCTTGATGGTCCCATGTGCAATAGGCTGGGGTTTGTTATGCCTGAGTGTGGTGACTTCTTCAAATGGAATAGGCACGAAGCATGCGAGGTGGGAGTCTACAGGCTGAACTTGTTGTAACCCCTATGGCTGAGTTATTGCGATAATCTGACAGAGGTTCTGTCTGCTGGCGAGTCCCTAAGGTTGTTTGCGCAGTGTGAGTCAAAGTGAGGTTCAGTGGTGAAAACCAACCAAAACCAACACAAAAGACAATGAAAGTGAGTGGTGGTGTGCCTATGCAGTACCTAGATGGTAGAACCTGTTCTTTGGGAGGGTTTTTGCGAGCTACAACACTCAAAGATGAGTGCTGAGGGTTGGGGGTGCTCCTGACGAAGAGGGAGCAAGAATGTGATAGAAAGCGATAGGGTAGACTGCTGTCAGCCTACAGAAGGATGGATGGAGACTTAATTCGATGTCCTAAGCTGTACTGAGCTCAGGGAGGGCTTGGAACGAAGTATATGGATGATAGATGATGATAAGCAAAGTAGATGATAGCTAGGCCCTTAATAAAGGCTCAACTATCAAAGCTGATGAATGATTTACTGAGAGATGATAAATTGCGAGCAAGAGGGGCTCTCTGATGTCTTCTTTTTTTTGCTACCTAAGTACAGTGACTTATATACAGTACAGGGGCATTGCCTATGGAAAACAAGGTGCAAACACTTGGTAAGTGATTGGTAACTGATGAGTAAGGAATGTAAGCGATGGGTAATCGTCTTGGAAAGCATTGGTAAGCATTGGTAAGGATAAGTAAGCCAAAAAGTGAAGAATCAGTAAGCAAAGTCAAAAGATTGGTAAGTATTGGCAATAGGTGAGTCAAAGACAGTCAGAATGTCACAGTATGAGTCAAGCAATGTCAGGAACTGGGAAAGTGCACTGGAATCACATTAGGGGGAGGCCATGCATGTCACATCTCGAAGAGATCACTTCTAGGCCAAAGTGGGATGACAGAGAGGCAGTGCTGATCTGATGCTGATATAGTACATCCAAAAGCAGACAGGGTGAGTCAGATGTCAACAGGGGTCAAGCTTTGGGGGTCTGTGGGGTGACAGGAGCATAGGGGATTGCAACTTTCCCCCCCAAACCATCCTCTCAGTGAAGCAAATAAAAACTTCATGAACGAGGCTCTGTTGGAAGAGAGGATGAAGGGGGAGTGTCTTCTGCTGTATCTTGCAACAAGGAGGCAAGATGTGCATCATACTCATCATGGATGTGATCAGGGAGAGTGGAGAACAGTAGATTATACTGTAGCTGTTGCAATTTTGGAAGAATGATGGATGAGACTGGTATGAAGACGTTGCAGGGGGCAGGGAGGAAGGATCCATATGCTTCTTGGACTGGAGAGACTGAAACGACCACATAAGACCTTTCCAAGCGAATGACAGACCTGAGGCGACCAAAGAACGTCCTCCTGGAGGTCATACTGACAAAAAGAACATGCTGTCCAAGCTGGATGGACTGAGAGGGGGCAGATGAGGGTGGGATGTACCAGGATGCTTCAGGACAGAAGCTG